GAACTGATGATCGGTTGATTTAGTGCATTTGATTAGCACTTAGCTGCTATTTACACTTTCTATTCCTCTGGAAGCAGTGAGGACGTACTTAGCTTTTCACATGACTGCACAGAGTCCTGTGAAAACTTTGTCACAGTACTGCAGATACATCTGAGGTCTTGTGTTTCCCCTGAGCTCCAAAGATCTGATTGGCTTGGTGAGAGGGCTTTTTATACAGACAAACAGGAAATAGAAGATTCCAGCTGTGATTTGAAAGCACAGGACATGGCACATTTTTCAAAATGTGATCATATATATTGTGATAAAGTGTAAGTTCATTATGATTTATCATATTATGTTTATCATATATATTATGTGTTGACTTGTTATATTACATTGTTTTGGGGGGGTTTATTCATTATGTTATTATATTAACCTCAGTTGTGACATCTTTTTGAGTTGGGCCTCGTTTAATAGCTACTTCTTTAGATTTCTTTACCCTTTTTTGGAATTTATGGATAATGTTACAATTATTCTTAAGATTAAAAACTGACTGTGAAATATCCACGCCACACAATCACAGCCGGCTTTTCCATCGCCCTTAAAAGTCTCATTACACAACAAACACACAATCCCACCTGTGTTAATCTCCATCTTTTTGTTGTAGCAGCAGTTAGTTTGTGTTTGCATTTCTTTTAATGTTGGAAATACAAACCGAACCAAGTCCTTAAAAACACGCAGACCCCAGTAACCCTCAGGGAGTCTCAAAGTGTCAGCACAGTGAAGCCCAGCACCGCTTACCTATGAAGTCATTCGACTTTCCAATGTCGTAGTCCCATACGGTCACCTCCAACGTCTTTTTGGTGAGGTCTGCATATTTTATGTCATAACAGAACTCCTGCAGAAAATAAAAGAGGGCAAAATAAGAGCTCCACAATTTTCTCTCTCAAAACACACGATTAATAATACCTCATCTTTTCAGATCACCACATTGGGGCTTTAAGAGTTGATTTATTCTGATGGACCATCGTCACACACACACACACACACACACAAACACTAATCTGCAGTTTTTTGGTTTGCATAATTATCAAAACAATTCTGAAAGCTTTTGTTTCATTTCCTGCTAAAATTCATTCTGAACGCCTCATTAGGTTTTAATATTTTGTTAGTGGCTTAAACAAGACGCTATTTAATCTAGCTCTTCTCGCGCTAATGTTTTTTTTTCAGTCACTACATAACCAGACTAATTTTTGTTAGTTAAAGAAACTCACAGCACAGCAAAGGTTTCAACGTATCTTAAACTCAGAGCGGAGGAAATTAAATGCGGAATACACACACGGCTTCTGTAACAGCATGACAGTGTAATCAATACAGTCCACTGTCCACTAAATGAAACAAGCATTTTCTTCTGAAATCAATTTGCTGTTTGCGAAGCAACAATCTGCGGTTCAATCACCTTAATGAAACCAGAGCCTCGATATGGAGCAGGACCTCATTGCTTGTCTCCAACAGAAAGGCCAGGAGGTGATGGAAGAGTATGGGCGCAAAAAATGTCAGAGGAAATGTCAAGTCGCTGGCCTGTGTGAGCGTTCGGCTGGGGTACGTCCACTCGTATACAAGCAGAAACGTCCGAGCCGAGCAGCCCCGTGGCCCGTTCAGCCTCAAAAACATGTTTGGCATTCTTGTTCAAAATGTGGCCGAAGCAGCAACTTTCTGATTTCAATACAATTTAAAATCAGCCATGGAGGGAGGTGTTTGGCTGTGAGACTGAGGAGCTCCGGCTCAGCTAAGAAGAACATAAAGGTTGATTACTTAAATTGCTTCCTTCACGGTGAATTTGTCAAAGCAGCGGTATACAGCATGGTAAAGGTCTGGAGGCAATGCA